TGCATTTCTTAATTTTTAAAATTTCTAATTTAACTTTTTCCAAAAGTAATTCTTGTATATTTTTCTTAAATACTACTTCGAGCTCATGCATTTCCTTTTGTTGTTCCATGTACAAAGCGTGCTTTTGTTCCATGAATTCTATTTCTCTTTTATATTTATCTGCTTTATGTGTAATATTTTGCTGGTGCTCTTCTTGTGCATATTTTTTTATTTGCTCTTCCCTGCTCTTTTTTTCGGTTAAAAACTCTTTTTTCTCTTCAAAATGAGTTACGATACGTTTTCTGGCTTCAAAAGGAGTATAACATTTCTTTCTTTTGTTGTGAGGACTCGCTGTAAACAAAGAAACTATGAAAAGAATGTTATTTAAAATCAAATTACATCAGTCCCATTTTTGCGAAACCCTTTTTAGAGACAATGTTATACTTTTATTTTTATACTGTACCTATGCTTTATATTGCAATAAATTTTATGAAACTTTATAAATGGAATAAACTTTTAATATTTATTAATAATAGACACAATGGGCTACTTTTTATACAAACATAAAATAAGATAAGCAAAGAAATTTTTCACAAATTACAGATCAAATCAATTATGATTGATTTAATTTTGACCTTGTGATTTTATAAATTAATTCATCTCTGTTTATAATAATAATTATTATGAATGTTTCCATTCACACAGTGCAGGGGACACTAGGATTCCCTGTGTTTCACTGTGTGTGAGGGTGGTAGCCATGTACATATAACCTGGACCCGAGTACAAAACAATTATCTGCCTCGGTTGGGATTGAACTCGAGACCCTCAGTATGATGTGGTACAGCTGCTAGTATTTGATACTTACATAATTGCTTTGAAATTGGTTTCCTGAGCAAAGCCTTTGGTGTAGAGTTGTCAAACGTTATATCAACCTTTTTTGAGTCTGCATCTGAAAGGCATGGATAGAAATAATGTTAGGTATCCCCAAGCAAAACTTGTGATGAACACTAATAACAATAAATTGTAATAGTTAAAAAAGTTCATGCTAGTAATCCTGAAGGTCCTGATCAGGACATTCAAAGATTCTGATACATAAATCCATAGATAAGTACCAAGTTAATAAGTAATAAACAAACCTGTCTCAATATCATCCAATACTTCTGTGTTTAACAAATTGTTGCACTCATTTAAGGAAGTATTTGCAGTACCACCTAAAATAAAAATATAGTTAATATTCTGAAAATAATATGCAATATATTTATATTAAATACATTTAACCTCACCTGCATCGGACATTTCGTTTTCCATTAAATCTAGAGATATGGTGCATTCTGCTGTGTTTGACATTTCAAGCGTTGTGTCACCATCAACTGTAAAACAAAGGTATTATTTAATGAGTTAATTGTTGTTCATGATTGAAATGTATTGTTTTTATGTCATTTTAAAATAATCTGCTATATCCAAATCCACATTATTATCTAATAAACTATCAAAACTGAAAAGCCAGGACTGAAAATTGGTATGATGTTGAGTCTATATTTTTCCAGGAGCTTATGTCGTAGTATAGTTGCATCAATGCAATAGACAAACACTCAAAACAATTATAATGTTATTATCATAATATAATCTCAAAAACAATAAGAGAAGTAGGTACATCATACCTAAAGCATCACTGTCATATATAGCGGGTAAGCCAGAAATTGACTCGCCCATAATGGTGTTTAACCATTCTGTTGTCTCTGATGGTTTAGGGGGTGGTGGTCCACCTCCAGTTTGTTTCCTACCATTTTTCTCTGCACTCATTTCCTGTAAATAAAGCATAATAATTATAGTACCTAAGCATAATTAAATTCCATCTTTTAGCTTATTTTGAAGATAAAGGCAACTTACTTTTCTGGCTATTTTTTTCATATTGTTAAATTTTTGTTGTAGTTGCTTAACATTTCTGTAAACAACAGCGTCCGAATTAAACTTTTCTGCTAGAGATCGCCACGCTGCATCTTTTTGCTGGTTACTCGCGTGATCAGTTCTTTTGCTTGTAATTATCGAATAATCCTTGAGGATGCATGTCAGTTTTACAGTCTCTTCTTTACTAAAATTGGTTGTACGATCTCTGAAACATAGGATTAAAGAAAATTACTTAATACTTTTTGTTTACTACTCTCCTGATTATAGCATTACAATAAAACAAATGTTAAGACTTACTTGCTAGTTCCTGTTTTTTGCGATGCCATCATATTCGAATTTGCTATATATTCTGTACTTTTTCGTCACGAAGTTAAAAATACCACGAGGCACAAATCACGATTTAATTAAGTACCGTTTTTTTGTGATAAAGAATCTTTATTACAAAATAATGACATTGACAACTTTGACACTAATAACAAGTACGATAAACGTCAAATGCGTCAGGCGTAGACAGTCTTGCCATGCAAAAATAATTACTCCCTACTGAAATTGGGGTCATTTAACACTCATTACAATGGCAACATATTTAACCAATGGTTAACATTACCAATAGTCAAAAAGAGATCAAAAAACAAACTCTTGCTTTAACTAGTGGTTAGCTTCTAACCTTTGGTCAGTTTAACAAATAGTCAACGTAGCTTTGACTACGGATCAAAAAACCGGCCCTAGACAACGAAACCGTTGCTTCCATAAACCAAAACATCTTTCCACCGTGTTCCTGGTACGGATATGACTCCTATTATATCTTTCTTCTTGTGGTGTTGTGGGGTTCAGCAGTGGTGTAAATAGGTATGGAGTACAAGGATAGCCACTGTCACCAAGTAATATTCCAGAGAATGCACCAGCCTCAAACCTCTGTTTTAGTCTACATTCTCGGAACATTCTAGTCCTGTACGCTGCCACGCCACCTAGTAACAATGTCTATGATTTTCAGGTTAGCATCACAAACCACCTGAAAAGTGAGAGCTCATTAGTACTTTGTTTTACTGATATAGATTGGTTATATTTTATTGTGCACCAAAATTGTACTATTTTAATCTACATTTTTTGCCATACGACAGTCAAACAAATTTTTTTCTATTTTGGTAAAGTAAAGTAATTTAGAGACAATCACAGCTTATTTAAAATATTTGTACATTACCTTTACATTAATTGAAGAAAATCCTTTTCTATTAATATATAACTGACCCCCATTAGCATTTACTTTCTTTATTCTTACGTGAGTACAGTCAATTGTGCCAATTACTGTAGGAAAATTAGCAATACTGCGGAATTTCCTAATGGTTCCCTGTTGTTCATTTAAGGAGGTAGGCATTTTAATAAATTTTCGGGACATCCGTGACAAAATTTCCGCTACTTTTTTACATGTCCTACTGACTATTGGTTGAGGCAAACCATGTAATTCACCTGTATCGTCTTGAATCTACGAATAAAACGATAATATGTATTTTTTGGCTTTTATATAGCGTTATGTTGGATACATTGACCAAGATTATTAAATAGCACTTACTTCATGGCGAGCCCAGTTGCGTAATGCACAAACTACTTGGATTTCAGGACTCAGTGGACATCCTCGAGAGTCGTGCACTAAATCCTCACGTTTAATAAAAAAACAAGATCCACAATTTTTTTACCGAAACGTTTTGAGAACCCTTATACCTAAAATTTTCGTCACTCAATTCAAAAGGATTCACACGTTGACGATGTCTATCAGGTCGCCGAGTGGTCTCTAACATGTCCAAATCTTCTATCAAGTCAATCATGTTTATATCCATTTTTAACGATTAAAAACACGAAATGAAAACAACGGTCGCTAACGTCAAATAAAGAAGTGCTGAATTTGAGGTTGGTGCATTAGTTAAACTCTCTGAAGTTTAACTTTAGTACCATAGATAGTCCTAGAACCAGAGATAATCTTCGTTTTGGAATAACGTTTTATTTAGTTATGGTTTAAACCTGATACTAACTCCAGTACCATATTTAGTCCGTGTTTTGGATAAGGCGGTTAAAGTCCGTATACTTATTTTATTCGTTACTAGGGTTTCCACCACCATTTCACTATTACTATTTCTAGCACTATTCATAATTTCTTTTACGTCACTGAAATCCACGTTTCTTAAGTATAACTTATTTTCTTCTTTCGTCACGTCGTACTGCACCTCAGGAATCTTAACAAGTGGTATCTGTAGACTGGCTTCCGACATATTGCTCGATAGGCCAATGGTTATTTTTCCCATTTGTATGCTGCAACCTATGCTCGGCGTCAAGATGTATGTTTCCTGTAGATTAAATCTGTGGGTATCATCTTTGCACTGCTCCGTCAGTATAACATCGTCTTCTGCATAGGGTATCCAGTGGTCAAAAGGTATTTTCTGTATTTTCAAGTTCTCTATTTTTATTTGATGTTGATGGCAATGTCTGAAGTTATTTTTAATTAGAATCATTTCCTCGATACATGTTTCTTCATCAACTGGTGCCATATTTTCCTCCGAACATAAGTGTCTGTTTGGTTCTAATCGGGTACACGGGCTTACTACATTTCTGTATTTCAAACCATTCACTAATAGGTACGGGTATTTAGAAATTATAGTATAGGTGTTGGTCAATTTCTTTATAGGGATGGGAATAATCTTGTAATAGTTATACGTTTCATTTTCTATCTTATATTTTTTCTTCTATTCATATATGCCCAGGAGGCTGTTAACGACCCATTCTACTTACTTCGATAAAAATGCGTTGCGAAAGAAAAACGGTAATAAATTATTTGTGTCTCTAGCGCCATCTTCTGCTTATCTAAAGTACTACTTCACACATGCGCATCATCCGTACTCCGGCAAGAGTGTCAAATTTGACGGATGGAAAGTTAAAATTCAGTAGAGTTTTTTCGCAACAAAATTGTTCACCCGCGCTAGCAAAAATGTAAGTATTTTTTATATAAACTCTGTTTTACATAACTTATGCATGAATATGTAACTTTAGAATATTTCTAGACTTTTTTTGATTAAATTTTGCGATAATCGTGTTTATTTAACAAGTTAATGTAGAAAATATTTATGTTGGTGGGTCGCTATCGACCCCACGGGCATATAAGATACTTATATTTGGCGTTTTGCAAGTCTCGTCGATTGCTTTCCACTACTGAAATAGCAGATGCTCTCGAAGCTTCGGAGGAGGTGGAAGACATTCAAGGTATAGATGTTTATATAGATCCACCATGTAACGGTGAAATTTCTGATGGTGACTCGGGGGAAGAAGACTGTTGCGATTTTGATAGATTGAATCGGTACCAGCTTCTCGCGCCTGCTGAGCTAGTAATTCACACGTCGAAAGATGACCAGCATGTTGAAATCGAGGCTATTGAACCTGAAATCTCTTCTCCTACTCCTCATAAAACTCGACGTATGCCTAAAAAGTCTCAACCAGCTGTTACAATAAGTAATGAGCAACTCAGGCAAGCGGCGACCTGTCAAGACAGGCCTTTTACTAGTCAAGAGCAGTCTAGTAGCAGTGCTACTAGTAGCAGGTCAGGCGCATGTCCATTACTTCAACAGAAACCAAGACAATGGACCAAGAGAGACATAAATTTACCACAAAATGTCTGGGTTCAATCACCTCCTCGAACCGTACTAACTTTGAGTAAAGAAAGTGAACCATTAGAGTTTTTTGAGTTGTTTATCAGTGAAGATGTAATTCGACATCTTGTGAGACATTCTGTTATATATGCAACAGGACCCCAATACAAAGTTTGCTTTGTCAGGAGATGATATTTACTATTTCCTAGAAATTCTCATTTTTAGTGGTTATGTACCTTTCCCAGACGTCGAATGTTTTGGGAAACAAATGAAGACACTCACAATGTTCTTGTTTCAAAGTCGATGCGCCGCAATCGTTTTGAGGAAATATTCAGATATTTTCATGCAGCAGACAATAATAATTTGCGCCCAAATGACAAAATGGTTAAAGTTCGACCATTGCTTGATTTTCTGAATGAAAAATTCTTGATGTATGCACCTATAGAATAAAATAGCAGTAAAGACGAGTCAATGATCCCATATTATGGCCGCCATGGATGCAAGCAGCATATACATATACACGACTAGGGTACTGTCTTCATGCAGATTTATATGAGGGAAAATCTGAACAACGATTCACTGGACTTGGAGAACACGTAGTTACTAATATGATGGAAGCTATGAAAAAAGAATAACCTGAAACTCAATTTTCAGTTTTTTGATTTTTTTACCTCACCAACGTATATAAGTGTAGTAGTAATATAAGTGATTTGCAGGGCAAGAACATCAAGGTAACAGGCACTGTGCGCCAAAATAGGATTGATAAATGTCCGTTAATGGATGTCAAGTCTGTCAAAAATCAGAAAAGAGGCTATTACGACTACCGTTTGGACACTAACGACCAAATATGTACTGTACGCTGGAATGGCAACAGCGTTATTACTTTACTCTCCAATGAATACGGTGTTCATCCAATTCAAAAAGCAAAACACCATTCGGCAGTCGAGAAAAAAATGGTTGATATTCAGCAGCCTTATGTAGTTCAACAGGATATTCGTTTTATGGGTGGAGTTGATAGACTAGATGCCAATGTTGGGACATACAAAATTGCAATTAGAGGTAAAAAAATGGTATTCTAGCATTATAATGTGGATGATTGATGTAACCGTCAATAATTCTACTTTGCTAGCTAGATCATTGGGTGCTGAAGTTGACACTTTGGAGCTCAGACGTTCGATTGCGCGTTCCTTGTTACAGAAGTATGGACCGCCGAGACTTCACTCAGGACCAACGACACTGCCTTTTTTTCACAGTAATGTTCCTATGTCTGTTCGGAAGCACGGTGCAGATCACTTGATCATAACAGGTCAAGCACGAAAACGTTGTGCAGTTTGTAAAAACAAAACCACCAAAATATGTAAAAAATGTGGTATAAATCTACATGACAAGTGTTTTGCCAATTTTCATGAATAATTTTGTTACGTTTGTTATGAATAAAAACTGACTTAAAACATTTTCTTTCATTTTATTTTGATGTTGGATTTCCATACAAATATGTAAGTTTATTTGCCCAGCGGGTCGTTAACGACCCATTAAAAAAAAAACATGTTTCCAATACCGAAAACCTGAATTTACGGCCTTTTGCTAGTATCTAGCACAATTTTATGCACTTAATCCAAAAGTCATAAAAATTCGTTGCTAAAAAAGTTACGGGCACATATGGGTTAATGGTATTTCGAAAATAAAAACTAATTTGTCTTTATCTATACAGAATGGGGTCCCACATATATGCAATAAATGAAACCACAAGTAATACTGGTCCGTAGAAGTGTAGAAAAATTAAATATTAAATTAAAACCCGTAAAATAAATAAGTGAAATTTTCAAACAAAATAAATATTAAAATAATTTCAGTAAAAGTGAACACTCTGTTTAGACAACGTACCTTGACCCCTTGGAAGAGTGACAACGTTGCACGCGGGTGGCATGGCGATTGTCGGCACGGCCTATGGTTCGTTGGACAATGTGCGACGAAATAAAAACTTACTCACTAAACTGTTTAGATATTTTACCGCCACTTTTTTATTTCGCGAAAATGGAACTGAACGAAATAAATATTATTGCATATTAGTAGCAAAATTTAATGAAACCCTAAATTTTAAAATTTTCAAAATGTCCGCCACGTTCTTGAATGCACAAGTTACATCGCCGCATAATGTTGTCCTGAAGCCTGCTCAACAAATTTCGTTCAGGATCCAGAGCCAGGGCTTTTAATTTGTTAAAGGCGGCAACAATACGATTGCGCAGTTCATCTTCGGTTTCGAAGATCTTTGAGTACACTTCATTTTTAATAAAGCCCCATAAAAAGAAGTCTAGAGGAGTGAGGTCGGGCGATCGAGCTAGCCACCTGCGAGGGCCATAGCGCCCTATCCATTGTTCGCCGAACATGGTGTTAAGCCGCTCTCTCGCGAGGAGTACGGAGTGTGGAGGAGCTCCATCTAACTGGAACCATACCCTTTGGTAAGCTGCCACAGACAATCCTTCTAAATATTCTGTTATTGGGCCGTTAAGAATATCGAGAAATTTCTGTGCTGTGTAATGCTGTGTAATGTTCAGGTTTCCGTCAATAAAAATAGGGCCGATTATTTGATCTCCGTGAATGCCTGCCCAAACATTGATGAGCTGATTCCCTAAATAAATGGGGATTCGTATGGCTCCAGTGCCGCATGGATTGTCGGTTCCATATGCCGTTTCGAGTAAACGTGCTTTCATCTGTCCAAAACACATTTGTTAGGAAACGTTGGTCTTGAGACATTTTTTCCAGTACCCAGTGGCAGTAAGATTCTCTAATCGGCTTATCGCGGGGCAGCAGCGCCTGCACCTTAACATATTTATAAGGACGTAGTTTGTTCCTTTTCAACACACGCCCAGCTTGTCAAGGCTGCAGGTTGGATTCCGATCGAAATGGTCTAAGACTCGTTGTTCGAACGAGGGTAGAAAGTGACGCGGAGCAACTCCTTCATGAGTGTTGAGCACTATGCGCTGATTTTCCCTGATTCTTTGGACAGCACCTAGGATTGTCCCGACGCTAGTAGGGCAGACGCGAGTTGCGCCGTATCTCTCACTATAAGTACGCAGAGTTAACGCTGAATTTTGGTGGCATTCGCCATACAATAAAACCATGTCTGTATACTCTGCAGCACTGTAAAAATGCTGTTGTCTTGGCATTTTCCGCCGCCAAAACGTATACACAAAAGTCAAGTAGTGTCAATATCACAGTGAAAAAATAATAAAAATAAACGTACTTAAAAACACTATTTACACACACAAAGTCAATTAACTAATAAGTGTCTATTTCACCGTAAAAGAATTGTTCGACTAATTGTATTTATCCTACGATATTACGATAATTATCTTATGATAAATAATTGCGATGCGTGTAGGCAGCGAAACACACCTGTATTCTGGGAGAATTGCGCGTGAACTGGAAGCCGAATTTCCAAATTCCAAAATGGCGAAAATAATAAAAGTAATAAATAGGGCGGCCACAAGGTGCAATTATTGTTTATCGATACTTTTCTTTTTACACTTACTTACCTACTACATTTGAATACAAGTAATTTTGATTTTTGATTTGATAACAATCGACAAGTTATTGATTGTTAAAAAAAAGTTTATTTTTATACAATTGAACTTACGAAACTACCGATTTGTAACTTCCTGGGAAACGGGTAAGTATGTATGACTTTTTAATTGGTTGTTTTTATGGGTTTTTTAGCATGTTAAAATAATTTATTATCTCTAAATCTACAAGAACACACTTAAACAAAAAAGCTTTAAAGTTTAGCTTTAAATACTTAGGTCGTAGTGTTTTTTAGAATTATCATAACAACACGATTATTCTAAAAAAAACATACCCTAAGTGTTTAAAGCTAAACATTTTTTTTTGTTTATCGATTATTACTCCCTTTGAAAGAAGCTAATCGTCGATAACTGGTGTCCTACTCTACGATAAAGGCGCGCGCGCACTTGCGCTATCGCCTTTGAAGTACGCCGCGTGCCTCGTGCCGCTTGTTTATGGACGCCGACAAAAGACACCCCTGTCGATATGTCGCAATACCAATAGTTTGCAACTGCGTGGCAATGTCGCTTTTTAATGTTCAAGGATTCAAGTTCATTGAATCATTGACTTAGTGACCCAATTCTATAGAGAGTTCAAATTTGCTTAAAATTAAAACTCTACTTTTTGACCTAATTACTGGACCGATTACGTTCATTTTTGTATATCGTCAGCAAAGGCGATAACAAGTATATGGTTTCATTTATTGCATATATGTGGGACCCATTCTGTATAACATTTATATAGATAAAGACAACCGTTGGGGAAAAAGGTTCTCGAGTGGCAGCCTCGTACCGGTAGGCGAAGTGTAGGGCGACCCCCTACTAGATGGAGTGACGACCTGGTACGACATGCAGGAAGTCGATGGATGCAGGTGGCTCAGGACCGTGCTTTGTGGCATACCTTGGGGGAGGCCTATGTTCAGCAGTGGACTTGTGAAGGGCTGTAATGATGATGATGATGATATAACATTTTAGGATAATGTTACGTTCTAATTTTAATAACTTATTTTTTGTTACTGGGTAAATAGTTTGTGCAGTTTGTTCTATTGTTTTGAAAACATTTAGTAATTCCGTAGAATTAATGATGGATTGGTATACCATCCATACCATAGGGTATACCCTATAGGGTGCGTAATTTACTTAATGCTATAGCTGTTTCTATTTCTTGGATATTTTCATAAATATAACGAAAGTTATTAAGAATTTGATAAAGGCTGTTCATTGTACGAATGAGATTGTCAGTTTTTGATTCTAATTGGTCAACTTGTTTAAATTTAAAGTGCAAGTTTTCAACATTATTATTGATAACCTCCGATATATTGATTAACGCATTAAACGTTTTTTGCATTGAAGATATTTTACGTTCTGCTAAGTTTTCTTTAACTCTTAAATTTGCAATTTCCTCGTTGAATTAGATAACATCATCTTCATCTAAATTACCTGATATAACTTAGAACTTGGGACTTATAATGGCTCTTTTTCTTTTATGGCTAGGATTTATTTGATCATATTTGTCTTGAACTACTTTAATTAACCAGTCTATTTGTTTTTGTATAACTGATAATTCTTTTTCTAAACTATTTTCTGTTATAATTGTATTCATTTTGTTGTATATATTTACATTATTATTAATTTGTGTTCATAATGCTTTTATCTCTACCGTTTTATAAACTGTCCAATAACTACTCTTAATCACTGCTGTTCCACATTTCAGCGGGATTATTCCCAGATTCCGCTCCAGATTTTGAAGTTCCAGTCCTTCCTTGTCCGAGTTGTTTTCATAAATACTGTATCACATTGTTTAATTTCTGGTACTTCTTCACCTCCTTTCTTTTCCCTAACTTTAGCTTTATCATTTTTTAGTTCTTCCCCAACATATTCGTACAATACTTTTAGGCGTTTTCTGTGATCTTGTAATAACTTTTGCATATATTATGTTCCCTATTTATATCAAAAACATTACCGCTATCAGTATTACCAAAAACTATTTCAAAAGGTGTAAATTCAGTTGCGGAATGGATGCTATTATTGTATGCCATAATAGCGTATGTCATTACTGAACAAGCATCAAGATCACTTTTATCGTATTTTGCCAATTTATATATCTCGATTACTGTGCAATGGAATCTTTCCACTATGGCCATTGAACTAGGATTATTTGGTGTACTAATGTGAAATTCTATTTTGTACAAATTTAGAAATTCTTTAATAAGTTTATTATTAAATTCAGCTCCCGAATCACTATTTATTTTGCGCGGAATTCCATACATACTGAAATGTGTACTGTACTACTTCTGGTGTACTTCTATTAGCCTCTCAGCAGTCCGGGCCAAAATAGCCGCTTTGGCGCATCTGTCAAACCCTAAACGAGTGTTATATTGCCTACGTGGCGCGTGTCATTAAAATGGCAATATCTTAATATTTATGTACGGGAACTATATAATATGATATGTTGTTAGAATTATTGTTAAATAAGCTAATAGAATATGTGTAAATGTGTACGTTTACCCTTTTGGTAT